CTGGACGACAAAGGCCTAACACAACGCGCAATCATTGCTTGACATAAGGAAAGGAAGAACAGGAAATGGCTGTACGTGCAATAAGAAATTTGACAATGTGTTCGCCGTCACCTGATCACTCAGTTCAAAATTTCCAAATTCTGCGTGGCGTGCATCACTTGATCCGTTTTGAGCAGTTTCCGTGCATGCTCAGAATCCCCGTACACGACAGCTGTGCATATTTGACAGCTGTCGAACCCCCTCAATTCCACGCGAAAGGACAAGTCCCCTGACACCAAACCTACATCATTGTGCTCGTAAAGGAACACTCTATCACGTAGAGTCAACAAACCTTGGTACCCCATCAGCGGGAACGAAATTTTTTTTGGAGCATTTTTTTCCGCTTTGGCCTGCAATCCTACACAGTTGCGTCGGGCATGCCGCTCTGATCAGGCCCTCGGTCATGTGAGTAATCTTGCCCTCGGTCGCGACGCCCTCGGGGCTACGCCCCTTGGGCGTCGCGACCTCGGGCAAGATCACTCACAGACCTCGGGCCTGATCAGAGCATCATGCCCTCGCAACTGTGTAGGATTATGTATGTAGTGGTAGCGGTAGCTGCGGCAGTGGTCCACGCCTGATAAGCATAACTTTTCAGTTTTCAGGCCTCACTCATCATGAGTACATGCAAGCGATCAGCCAAAGGTCGACCAGACGACCAAGCAGTTCCGAGTGCCTACTGACAAACTGGGTAGGCCTGATAGTATCAAGACAACAGCCCATGCAGAAAGGGGCCGGGGAGCAGAATCTCTGCAGGTGTACATAGTCATGTACATGTGTACGTACATTGTATTTGTAGGTGTCGTGAGGTAATACTACTCCCTGGGCCAAACACAATTCAGCTTTCAACCACATACATGTACATGTGCATGATGTACTGCTGGGGATGACCTTCACTTTACGACACGGCACAGCTGTCTACAATAGCATAGCTATTGCCTACTATTGGCAGTCCTACGTGCAGATAACGTGACCTTTCTCTGCGTTGTCTGATCGAAACTGACATGTCCACTTCTGCAGGTCCATAGTCCACTCAACTACTTCATTGTAGTGTATTGCGTCTCTCCAAGGCTGGCATGGATACTAGTCTTGCTGCTGCGCGTACATGTATACAATTATGTACATGTACATGTACATGACCTACTACTACAGTAGTACAGTAATGTCCTTCGGAAGGGTGAAGTAAGGAAAGCTGTACTGACAATCTAGCCTTGGTCCGCCTGCGGCAAACAAACGTACAGAGGGTCAGTTGGAAAATATCGATTGGTGGTTATCACTTCTCGTGCTGGCAAACAATAGGACACGGGCAAAGTGTGTTATGTATCACGAGAATCTAACTTACTTCTAGGCCTGAAAGTTTGGGAGATACAGTAGACAGTAACAAACACTGGCTGCATGGCTAATGTCTTTTGCTAGCTGATCTTCCATAAATACATATGTACATGTACACTGGACATGTACAGTACATGAACATGTACTAAAAAGGTAAATGATATTGATAGCAGCACTTTCTAACCAAGCACAATGTAAATAATGTACATGTAGCTTGTTAACATTTTATTACACTATAATGTCTGCCAGGGTGACTTACGATGTATATCAGTACGTGTATGTTGGCGTTGTCTGAGAAATGTCTGAACGGAGATTCGGTACATGTACAGTTGTATGTGACTAAGAGTTATGTTATGTTATGTTACCTTTATTTTACTTCACCATAGGTACAGGCATTGCTGCCTTCTTGCTGTGGATCATTAATGATGCCACAGCTCCTAGGCTATGATGAAAAATATAATAGTATGATAGATTAATATGATCAAATATGAACAGCATGGGAAGTAATAAGATGTCATGACTGTCAGCAGGACAATTATAAAATACCATGTAGCAGTGTATTTTATGTGTGTTGTGGTTGTACATGTAGATAATATTGATGATGGACAGGGGACAGAACGTACTCGTGTGTCAATAGCTAATGGAGTGAAGTGAGATCAAGATCTGAAAGAGATTTTTTGAAATGAACAAGGTTTGTTAGAGAGCGGGTAGCATCGGGTAGAGAGTTACATGTGGTGCTGCCCAGAAATTGGATAGAACATCTCCCAGCAGGATTGGGTAGGAATGGGATGCGAAGTAAATTATGCAGCTGCCCACGGGTGACTATACGATCAGCAAGTGGTATCTGAGGCTGGGCAAGTAATACAAAATAATCTTGAAAGAGAGAGCTTGCAGATCCGTGTATAGACCGGAAAACAAATACAAGCAGCTTCTGTAAAAAGGACTTGGTGAAGTGATGGTATGGATAACTTAGCAAGCAAGGGAGCTGTTGCAGTGCGGTGGGGAGCCTGAAACACAGCACGAATACCAGACTTATGCAGTTTGGTATTCGTGCTGTGTTTCAGGCTCCCCGCCGCACTGCAACAGCTCCCTTGCTTGCTAAGTTGAGTGTGGTCATATCGCTAGACTAGAGTTTCAGTTTCCCCTGGTTCAGATACCTTCAATAATATCTATTTTAAAAAGAGAGGACCATAAGTTTACAAGTAATTAGTTACAATGTCATGTATCTGTTTTGTCCAACACTAACGATTAAAAGCAGGATAGTATGGAGTCAAAATGTGCACACAAAAAAAAACAGAAAACTTATGAACTTATGGTCCTCTCTTTTTTAATTCAACCCTTGGCTCTCCATCCAAGTTTAGAACTATTTTTTCTCGTCAGCTGCGAATCACGTGACGCGAGCTATCATTCCCCTCGGATGGATCACTTTCCAATTACTACTAATACTAGTATGATGAATGGGGATTCTGCGAAGTCCTTTCCCCAGCTGCTGGGCATGTGGATAGTCAGCTGTGTGGTTTCTTAGCGGGCCTTGATTCCTTGAAGTAGTTATTAGCTTACCCATGTCATTGTACATTGTACATGACCTGAAGCCGGGCTTCTGGCACAGCCAGCATGCCTAATAATAATATTATTAGCACTGGCACTGTACAGACAGTGCAGTCAGCGAATCAGTGCACATACTGTGACATAGTCAAGTGCCTGCATACATGGTACACTTAGCTAGCACGTGTTCGCTTGATTCCACACTTTGTGGCAACTAGTTAACTGCCCGAGGACACCCCTACCATTAGTATCAATGTGTTTCGATGCTTTCAATTACTGGCATTTCAAGCTGTGGAAACCGATATGCCAGTGCTCCCCAAGACTGCAAGAGGTTAGTAAACCGAGAAACAATTATTTTCAAATTGAATATGCTATTCGTGCATGTGCTGAGTCAGACTTAGTGCCCAAGTAGTTCACCAAGGTCCAAGGATCCATACGACACGTGTAACTATTAGTATGTACATCGGTACATACATGACGTGTACTGTACATGATTGTACAATGTCATCTAGATAGACTCTAGCTGCGAGAGTCCCTTACCTGGATATCGTCCCGTAGATGTACCAAGCACTGAAGCTAGCTATCAGCACAACAGTTAAAACTTCAACTGATATACAAAAAGACCCGCGGTCGACCGGTGGATACAATGTACATGTACGATGACTGTATTCAGCACACGGTTCGCCATGCCCTGAACTGAAGGCAGAACAGACACAATGTATGAGCAGATCGTCAAGTGTAGAGCGCTCTCCGAGCTGCGGAGGACAGACATGGCTTGGCATTGTTGAAAGATGCGAACAGTGGTTAGTAACACCTAAACCCTGCGGGGGTGGGGCTAGCAAAATGGTGCGTGCATACTTCGAAGTACTTGTAACAGTATTGCCGTCTGTTGCAACATTCAGGCGTCATTTAAAAATAATTGTAGTGCACTGTACTCTAACGTGTGAAACTACTTGCTATTGTAGTCAGCACGTTCATCCTCTCGTCATGCATGTGGAAAAGAGAAGGGTACATTGACGTTCAGGTTTGCAAAGTTCTTATTCGCGAAGGTTACCCTTTCGCACTTATCTCCCAAGGCGGGCGGTGCATGCATGTTAGATGTTCTTTGCTGCTTCGAGCGGTAGTTTGGCGTACTGTCCAATTGCATGGTCTTATTTTTCCTTCGATAACCGCCAGCATTCTTTGTTGCCGTGTGAGATTCAGCTTGTACTCGCGCGAAGTTCAGCGCATCTATTTTACACTTTTTGAACATTCCTTAATTAAAGGGCTCAGCCTTCCAGTTAGGAATGCTGTTTGGGTTAATTTTAAAAGCACGTTGAGGTGTGTTCAACGTCTAGCTTGTACATTGTAGGTGTCAGGCGGTCGAATTTCTCAGTGCTCCCGGTTCATCAAACTTATTGTGTCCAGTTCTCGCACTATCATCTATCTGTTCATACTCTCGTTCAATTGTTGGCTTGTTGCTACAAGCTCGTAGATCTACCCATCGGTCCTTTCTCTCCTCAGTTACGTTTTGGTGCTAGGCCTTGACAGATTATGCTAGTTTAGTAGTCTAGATACAGTGCAACGAGTGTTAGTTTCCAAGATCTTTACAAGACTGGCGAACACTAAATGTCATGAAGAAAGTGAAGAGAAAGGAGGTTTATATAGGAAAGAGATTGTGATAGAAGACTGTGCAATGAAGTTTGTTGTTTTGTTAGATATCTGACGTGTGCTGTTTGGAAGAAGTGTTTGGATGCAAACAGAACTTACAAGAGATGAGTAAAGACTACTTTTCTACAATAGCGTTGTAGGCGAGGAGTGCGTAACATCAAAAGATGTCGTAATGTGTATTGGAACTATGCTAGCCAAACATTACATAATTATTATGGTAGCGAAGTACGTGTAGTAGGTATTACAATGTGTGCGAGAGTATGGTGAATCAGTGTTTGTGATGATGAGGAAAATATGACGTGTACATGCAAACAAATGATGATGTCATGATGCGAGAACGTCAGAGACGCTACAGAGCTCCCCTCCTAGTGAATGAGTAATGAGCGATAACTAGCGCGATAAAGGGAGAGCAAGCAAATGGGATAAGCGAGAGAGTGTCAGAAATAGGCGGGAAATCTGACTTGACGACCAGCTCGTGTTTGGCGTGGCGGAGGCACGTCGAATGCGAGCGATGGCGTCGGCTTGGTCGGATGGCAATGGTCGACAGACTGGTTGTCATGGAATGCTGGTTTGAGTCGATCGATGGATACTGTGTCGGAGCGGCCGTTGAGGTCGAGGCGGAAGTACTTATCATGACGTTCCAGGACTCGGTGTGGACCAGTGTAAGGACGTTGGAGGGGCGTTCGTGTTGCATCTGTGCGAATGAAGACATGAGAGCATGTCGAGAGGTCAGCTGGAATGAACGGATGCTGGGTGGGTGGCTTGCGGGGTTGTGTAGGGCGGAGCTCGGACATGGCTTGTTTGAGGCGGCTGACATAGGACGTCGGATCCGGAAATGGCTCAGGCTCGTCAGTGAGGAAATCACTTGGCAGGCGGAGGTGGCAACCGTAGACCATTTCTGCAACTGAGCAGTTGAGGTCAGCCTTCAGGGAGGAGCGAATGCCGAGCAGGACTAGTGGCAGATGTTCCGTCCAGCGCTGTGGATTGTCGGAAGCTCGGAGTGCAGCTTTCAGTTGTCTGTGAAAGCGCTCTACCATGCCGTTGGCAGCAGGGTGGTAAGCCTTGTACGAATGCGAGACGTGCCAAGTAGTGACATGAGCGATGACCACAGGGATGACTCAAATTGGGCACCTCGGTCGGTTGTGAGCACAGTGGGAACACCAAATCGGGCGACCCAGGTGGCAACAAACTGGCGAGCGACGGTTTCGGCTGTAATGTCGGGAATAGGTACTGCTTCGGGCCAGCGAGTAAAGCGATCTACCATTGTCAAGAGGTAGCGAGACTCACTAGAAGATGGAAGCGGGCCTACGATGTCGACATGGACATGGGAGAAACGAGCATCAGGTTGCTTGAATGCACTTACGGGAGATGTGGTGTGGCGCTGAACTTTAGACTGCTGACAAGCGTGGCAGGTACGACACCACTCACTAATATCCTTGTTCATCGCGGGCCAGACGTAGCGAGCTGTAATCAGGTGCCTGGTAGCGCGGGTACCAGGGTGGGAGAGGCCGTGAAGCGAATTGAAAACAGCACGGCGCAGCTTGGCAGGTACATACGGGCGGGCAGACGCAGTAGAGGTGTCACAGATGAGCGAGTGATCAGTCATGGGCAGAGCTATAGATTGCCAGCATAGCGAAGTGGATGGATCCTTACCAGGACTGGGCAAGTCTGGATCATCTTGTTGAGCGGCGGCAAAGGAAGCTGTGTCAATGGCAGTGATGGCAGAGACGGGCTCATCGGGTAGGTGGCATCGTGACAGTGCATCAGCGGCAGCATTCTGAGAACCCTTGACATGACGAATATCTGTCGTGAACTCAGCAATGTACGACAAATGGCGCTGTTGACGCGGGCTGTGGGTCTGTGAACGGCTGTGGATGGCATGTGTCAGAGGCTTGTGATCGGTGCACACATGGAAGACACGCCCTTCCAGGAAGTGTCGGAAATGCTTAAAGGGGAAGTATACCCTAAAATCAAATTTTCACCAGTTGTAGTCTTCTGGGTGCTGAGTCGAATGGTCTTGGTCCGAGGAAGCTGCGACGCTCCCTTCCTACTTGAATCCCAATCGAACTCGCGCACTTCCACCGAAACTGGGTGACTGCGCCCTACGAGATGGGGATTTGTATGCAAAATGTCACTAAAAGCGCCATTTCGTTCTTATAAAAGCACGGATGACCGCGATTGGCCCATATGTTGTAGTCTTTTGGACGCCGAGTCGACTGGTTTTGGTCCGAAAAGACTGCGATGCAGCGTTCCTCCTTTATTCCCAATCGAACATGGTTGAACAAGCGGTCACGTGCTCCTGGGTGCCCAAATCACCTGGTCACCGCGCCAGCAGGCGACAACTTTCACACCAAGGTTCAACTCGGGTTCAACTCGAGTGACAGGACTGTACCCAAAAAAGGTCAAACAGGCTAGTAAGTTGTACCCTGCAGGCACGGTGACCAGCTGACTGGTGTACGCAGGAGCACGTGACCGCTTGTTCAACCATGTTCGATTGGGAATAAAGGAGGAACGCTGCATCGCAGCCTTTTCGGACCAAAACCAGTCGACTCAGCGTCCAAAAGACTACAACATATGGGCCAATCGCGGTGATCCGTGCTTTTATAAGAACGAAATGGCGCTTTTAGTGACATTTTGCATACAAATCCCCATCTCGTAGGGCGCAGTCACCCAGTTTCGGTGGAAGTGCGCGAGTTCGATTGGGATTCAAGTAGGAAGGGAGCGTCGCAGCTTCCTCGGACCAAGACCATTCGACTCAGCACCCAGAAGACTACAACTGGTGAAAATTTGATTTTAGGGTATACTTCCCCTTTAATGGCTAGGTAAATAGCGAGGAGCTCTCGACAGAAGGTGCTGTAGCGTGTCTCAGCAGGCTTTAACTTGCGTGAAAAGAAGGCAACAGGATAACACTCACCATCTAGCTCTTGTTGGAGGACGGCACCAACAGCAATGTCTGAAGCGTCGACCATCAAGCTGTAGGCGGCATCCGGGCGAGGATGGTGAAGTGTGATGGCATCAGTGAACGCAGCTTTGACATCATTGAAAGCAGCGAGGGCCGAGTCGGACCAGACGAGCGCGCCTTTGGTGCGGTGGCGTTTCTCAAGCATAGCGTGCAGCGGTGCGAGCTTAGCAGCAAGATGTGGCTGAAATCGGTGATAGAACGTGACGAAGCCGATGAACTCACGGAGCTTACGAACACTAGCTGGCTGTGGGAATTCACGAATGGCGGTCATGCGAGCGTCGAGAGGTCGGATACCTGAGGCAGTCACGTGATGTCCCAGGAAGTCAAGCTCAACCTGGCCGAACTGCGACTTCCGGACGTTGATCAAGATGCCATGTGAAGCAAGGCGGGAGAATATGCAGCGAAGGTGGGCCATATGTTCAGCGGGTGAGGCGCTAGCAATGAGCAAGTCATCCAGATATGCAAAGCAGAAGGGAAGGTCTGAAACTACCTGGTCAATGAAGCGTTGGAATGTCTGGGCTGCGTTGCGAAGGCCAAAGGGCATGCGGACAAACTCAAACAGTCCAAAGGGGGTGGTGATGGCAGTTTTCGGGATGTCGTCAGGGTGCACAGGAATGTGGTGGTATGCACGGACGAGGTCAATCTTAGAGAATATGATCTTGTCATGCAGGTGGGACGTAAAGTCTTGAATATGCGGGATGGGATAGCGGTCGGGGATCGTGCAGTCATTCAAGGCTCGGTAATCACCACAGGGTCGCCAGTCACCGGATTTCTTTGGCACCATATGCAGAGGGGATGACCATGCACTAGAGGAGGGACGAATAATGCCTAAATCTAACATGTGTTGGAACTCACACTTAGCGACAGCAAGGCGGTCGGGTGCCAGACGGCGAGGCTTAGCGTGGACGGGGTGGCCATCTGTGACTATGCGGTGTGTCACATTGTGCTTGACAGGCGAGTCACCAGTGGTCGGTCGGACAAGGTCAGGAAACTCACTCAGCAGGGCAGAATACTCACTAGGGCTATCAGTGTCCAGCAGGTTGGTAGCGGAGGTGCTGACATCCGAGGCGGATCCGACAACGGCAAGTTGAGTAGTGGAGTCCCGGAGACATCTGGCGGCCAGGTCGACAGTGAGTTGGAAGTGGCCAAGGAAATCCGCACCCAGGATCGGATAGCTGACGTCAGCAACGACGAAGACCCATTTGAAAGTGCGTCGGAGACCTAAGTCTAAATCTAGCAGCTGCTGACCGTACGTGGCGATGCTGCTCTGATTCGCTGCACGGAGGCGAGGGCTATTGCGATGAACACGACGAGACAGAGTTACGAATGACGGAGGAAGAACACTGACGGCGGCGCCGGTGTCGACAAGGAACTCGACGGACTGGGAGCGATCCTTGACGAATAGTAGGCGACCGGTAGCGGTATTCGAGGGGCCAACCACACTAGCGGTCGCGACTAGTGGCTGGCCTTCCCGTTTCCCGACAGGAATCGGCAGGGGTCTCGGCATTTGTTCGCCTTCGCACCGAACGCACGGTGATACCAGCAAAGGTCGTCGTGATTGTCACGGCCGGGAGACCTGGAGGCACTTGGGTGGCGTGACGGTGGCCCGGGACTACGCTCTCGTTGGCGGCCACGCTGGGAAGGGGCACCGGTGTCACGGGTCATCACATTCACAGCGGACGTCAGCTTGGCGAGTTCAGCTCGGAGCTGGGCCATCTCAGCCCTGTCAGCGGTGCAGGCCTGTTCCGCATCTGTGGACGCTGTAGATCTACATGATAAGGCCGTATACGTACTAGACCGAGCAGGGCTAGGGGCTTCACTCAGAGCGTGAACACTTGTACCGGTGAGTGGGGTTGAGCACGTGCTTTCAACCACCTTGTCAGCAAGCGCTGCAAGTTCGTCCAGGCTGAGGCTTGCAGGTGTTGCAGCCAGAATCAGGCGGACCGTCACGGGCAAACGCTGTACAAATAGCTCGCGCAGGATAGTTGGGTCTAGCGACTTACTGCCTAAAAGCTGTTGCATGCGTCGGAGGACGCGACTTGGTCGGCTGTCCCCGATGTCGGCTGTTGAGAGTAGCTCACGCAACCGTGCCTGATCGGACTTTTGTGTGCGTGCGGTGAGCGCCTCTTTCAGGACTTGGTACGGCTCCTCGGCTGGCGGCGCTAGGAGCAAGTCCCGAATCTCAGCGGCGTATTCAGGAGCCAGCGAACTCACGACGACATTATACTTGGCCCGCGGGTTGGTGATGCGATGGTTGGCAAAATGCGCTTCTGCCTGTGCAAACCAAAGCTGCGGATCGCCGGGCCAGTACTGCGGCAGTCGGAAGGTGATGGCAGACACCGGACGGTCCGGTGCGTCGTGTTGGTCGTTGCGGGCGAGTGGTTGGTTTTGGGCCGGGGCGGAGGAGCTAGCGGCAGCTGAAGCTCCAGAGGCGGAAGCGGAAGAACCATCGTCGCTGGACATATTGCACTTTACTCACGTCGGGGGTCACCAATTTAGTAGTCTAGATACAGTGCAACGAGTGTTAGTTTCCAAGATCTTTACAAGACTGGCGAACACTAAATGTCATGAAGAAAGTGAAGAGAAAGGAGGTTTATATAGGAAAGAGATTGTGATAGAAGACTGTGCAATGAAGTTTGTTGTTTTGTTAGATATCTGACGTGTGCTGTTTGGAAGAAGTGCTTGGATGCAAACAGAACTTACAAGAGATGAGTAAAGACTACTTTTCTACAATAGCGTTGTAGGCGAGGAGTGCGTAACATCAAAAGATGTCGTAATGTGTATTGGAACTATGCTAGCCAAACATTACGTAATTATTATGGTAGCGAAGTACGTGTAGTAGGTATTACAATGTGTGCGAGAGTATGGTGAATCAGTGTTTGTGATGATGAGGAAAATATGACGTGTACATGCAAACAAATGATGATGTCATGATGCGAGAACGTCAGAGACGCTACACTAGCATAATATTTCGCATAATTCCTACCAAAATCGAATAATCGCATAATTCGAGGCAAATTGCATACGAATCGCATAAATTGGAATAATCCGCCTGTTTGCATCAAATTCCATACAGTTGTACATGTACATGTTCTACAAGTACAAGTAGATGCACCAGGAAGTCGTAGGTTTACGACTCCCTTGATAACATGTCCAGTCCACTACAATCGGTGACGGTCGTAGCTAGGTCGGACGGTGCGTTGACCCCGTTGAACTTTTGCTACTACAGTACAACGCCCTCCACAAAAAAATTCCCCTGTTATTTTGCACAGAACCATTATACATTAGCAGCATATGTGAGCATCATGCGGCATAATATGATAACTTTTAGCATAAAAATAGCATAATTCTGCAATTTTTTCAGCAATGCGAAAAGCATAATTTCACGAAAATGTTAGCATAATCTGTCAAGGCCTATTTGGTGCGGTATATTATACAGTACTTCAGTAGTTTGAACTCCACAGTTATTTCAAGTTTCAATACACGCACCGGTAGCATGCAGAACGTTCTCCGTTGACGATCACCAGTGCAGTACGTGCCTAATTTGTGAACGATTAAAGAAGAGAATAGTTATAAGCATTTCTAGTGTACACTACTCAACCAAACAAACTCGCGGTGAAAACTAAAATGTGCGAACTACATGTACATGGAGTGGCACGTATAGCCTAGTGTAGTCGACGAGAGCAAAATGACAACACCACATTATGAACAAGTTGTCACTGATGGGTATTGGTAAGGTAGTCATTTTTATTGTTCAATCCACAAAATGTGATGCAGAAAGGGAAGAACCATCCGAGGTAAATATCCATTGTAAATATGAAAAATGTTTTTATGCCATGTCAGCCGACTATTATTAATTCATGGCTGCACCCACAAAGGTGCAGGCAAATATTATTGTATTACATACCCACAGTATAACTACAGCAGGAAGATACTATAGTACATGTATTGAGATTACCAGAAGGCCTCCGCAGCATATGCAGGGTATTGGTAAGGTGCTTAATTAACAACGTGGAATTAATGAGGTCACTAGTGAATCTCGGATGATTTTGTCCCTTCCCAAGGTACCTCACAACAATGGCGCACCAAACTAGCCCCCTAGGATTCGAATTCAAATTCTATTTCAATATTGTTTTACCCCCTCTCAAACACCAGCAATGAAATATTTCCTCCTCCGTAAACAAAAACTTCGTGATGGAATTTTGAGGGGCTGATTTGGGCACAAACTGCCGTGAAATGAGTCGCAATCACTTTCTTGGCCTTCCCTGGTATGCCATGACAGAGGTACGATGCAAGGAAAGCGACCTTTCACAACAAGCCCACCGGAACCGATGGTTGCGCTGTGGCGAGCGAAACTGAAATACCACTTCTCCGAGGGGATAATTATTGCGCTGCTTGGCCTCTCTACCACTTTAGCACTGAGTACGTTGAAGAGTGATAGAGAGCGATAAAACGCGTTAACGGAGCAGCGAGCCCACACAATGAGCGAGTGAACAAGGAGCTGCTCCGATCGCACGTGATGATGAATCAAATTGGGGCTGTTAAGTGTGACGTCACGGCCCCTTCGATACGCATAGCAACGGAGAGCACTGGGGACAAACAAAAGTCGCGTCCTCTGGATGGAACCAGTTGTGAAGGGCAACAGCATCTAAATGACTGGAGAGAGAGCAGTTTTTCTTTGCTTTTTCTTCAAGCGATTGTTGTCGCTCTGTACTCCTTGTTCTTTCCTCTACAATTCTCCTGTAATCGTCGAGGGCCTTCATAATGGCTGTGAAATTGGCTGCCCACTGTAAAACTCCGTGTTTGAGAGTGCTTTGAAGATTCTTCGCCTCCTGATGGATCAAAGTACGAGCGCTCCCTGTGGATTCGATTATATGTAGGTGAGTTGTTCAAGAAATCAGTGTCTTCTTTCTGTCTCTGCCCTCACGCTGGCACAATATCAGCCTCTATATCCATGACAGCCCGCACCTCCCGTAGACTGCATGACTTAGCTGTATTCTCGCCCTCCGTGGTGATTGAAGACCCGTGGAAGAAGTTGTTCAGAATGATGTCCTGAGAATATAAAATAAAATAATTCCAGGGAATTGTTACAGGGTATTTTGGAAGGATGGAGAGAGAGAGAGAGCACAGTTTGAAGTGTTTGTCTCACTGTAATTACTCCAGATTATTGAATGGTGTATGACCTACTCGATATTTTCCGCAATGGTTTTTCCTGATTTGCGGGATCTCTTCTTTTGCTGTTTGCGTGTTTACAGGAAGCGACTGTCTGATGTATCTGCACCAGATCCTGGGGAAATGAAGTCAGATGCAGACGCAGGGTCGTCCAGTGATGCAACACTGCCGTTCTATGTGCAACGTCACCGCTAATTCCCCCGGCGAAAACACAAACACGTGAAGAGACTACAGTATTGACCGTTCTGGTAATGAATCGTGACTGCTCGGACAGTCGATAATCGAAACACAGAGCACCAGCATGATGTTTTCATATTGGGAACCACACACCAGCTCAATTCTCAAGCCGAAAAATTGATGAATACAAAACACAGAGCGACGCAACAAGATATCATCCGGCAACCAAACCAACCTGGGTCTGATGCACTGAATAGTCCTGAAATATGCAGGCCACACAAAGCAGTGCAAGCACAGACTGTTACAAGGTACATGCATTGCAGAACAAAGTGTAACCAAAGATACACAGGGTTATAGCTGCACACTCGTGCATGTGCTCGCTCAGCCCAAGAACACGCAGGATGATAGAAATAATCCGGGGGAAACACGCTAATGTCATGACCGGGGAGTGGGCCAGACACACTCTCAGGATTCTGCAATTCCAGGTTCTTTACGGAAATATACCAGGAGTCCAGATACCCATTCCTCACCCTCACCACACAAGAAGATCAAAGCTTCACTCTAGGACCAAGCTCAAACAACAGAGAAGCAACAAGAACAACAACAACCAGCGATCGATGCAAAGCACCGAGCTATATACTACAAGACCTAGTAGCGTGCACGGCGCGTAGCGAGCGAGTAGCCAGCAAAGCATGAATAGTGATAGGTTTCACAACACTATTGATCGACAAGACACATCGCCGCCACGGCAAACACTTCATAAAGACACGTGTATAAGCAGACGGAATACAATACAGATAATGACATTGTAGCAACACACGGACACGACACTAGCACCGAAGTAAGCATCAAGACGTAAATAGTGCAGCTCTGAAAAAGTAAAAACTACATTGACATGTACATTGGTGTGCCGAGTAGTATCATCCTTGATTACCCATCCAACCAAGATGTTATCAGGTCCCAGACGCCAAGATCCCACGCCGAATGTGAAGTGCATCTAGCCTTGAACCTGTTGCACAAGGCACACACATATGACAAAAAATGACATCCACTCCGAATATTTCCAGAGGCCAATCATAACAGAACACAGAAATGAAACCACGGGCTCAACAAAGTAAACGCAAAGGAAATTAGTTAAAATAATCCATGAAGTGCTATTTTAATTCCAGCGCTGACTGCAGTGTGGCGTCCTGGCCCGATACCCGCTGAGCATAGACACAAACTCCATTTGACAGGGGCACGACATACTATTTTAGAATAAAGTCACAGGGGCGTAGCACCCGCTACGACTGGTACGACCATGGCCGCACCACTTTTCGAAAAGTGTGGTCCGTCTGGAACGTGCAAAACCGTAAAAAAAATCAGGACCCATCGATATTGGCATATGCGCATCAGACCTTTTTCTAGACTCGTACTCGTAGATCTGTTATGCATCTGCAGTCGTACTGAGTACTGTACTCGACTCGACTGCACACTGCGCCAGAAGTTCCCAGAACGCAGGATTTTGTGTCTTTTTTACAAAATTTTCCGGGGGGGGGGAGGGGGGCCGGACCCCCCTCTAACACGGCCTTCCGCCGCACCGACCTTCGGTCGTACCACTTCCAAAACCCCTCCTACGCCCCTGAGTCATAAAGTACAGCACTCCAATGACATGACGGACACCTCGTGCAAATGCGTGGTCTGTTCATCCGGCCAACTCGGCCACGCATGAGAGTGTGTGCATGTACGCGCGCACGCAAGCGCGCGCGTGCACACACACCATGTATTCAGTGCGTATGGCGTACCTGTTGCGGAGATAATGAAGATGGAATCATTATCATGATGTTACATGTACATGTACAGTGTATGTTTGAGTGTAAAGTAAATTTTATTTTATTACACATTTCTTCGACACAACTTACTCCACATCTTCGCATTTCTCATAATCCATCCACCTACACTCCGTCTCAGTTGAGGAAAAACTCTCCCAGGTATACACTAGTCACCACAGCCATGTGATGACATTGGGATGGGTCCCAAGCACGATTGCACTCTCCAGTTACAATATAATATATTTGTCCAGATTATCTGTGAAGACAAAATGCAGTGCATAGCGGCAATCGATGGATGAAAAGAGAGTTTGTAAATACACATATCTTTCCACTTGTTCAGGAGCTTACCTTTTGGAGTTCACATCGTTTACACGATCTCTTATGCTGTCTTATACCTTGGCTTTGTTGACCATGGATACGCCATCCCAGAAGACATTCTACAGGAGCTACTATTAGTACGAATGCAGAGCGTTTTTCACGCTCGATCTCAGCGATCTACCTCGTCACGCCAATAAAATCCTCCGTGACACTGGCTACAGTCACAAGAGACGTCTCAGTAAGGTAATGAGCACGACCACGCCGTCGAGATCAAGGACAAAGAGAAAACAAAACACTCACTGAAAACAGCAAAGAAGAAACGAAGAAATGTACACGATTCCTATATGTTGCCACTGACAACTGGTTCGGTGGAGACGACGCTACTTTTGTTTGTCCCCAGTGGGATCGTTGCTATGCGTATCGAAGGAACTGTGACGTCATCACTTAACAGCCCCATTCTGAACTCAAGTTCTTGTTCAACCTGCGCAAAGCCGAGATTCGAATGCTGATGACCATGCATTCTTTCAGAAGTCTGCAGTCCGATGCGAGTCTCGTGGCTAAAGAAAGTCCACTGGACTTGCTAGCCGCTGCCGTTCAGTGCTGGTATCCATTAGAGAAAATGGAATCAGTTTGGCTGTGCCTTTACTCCTCGTTTCGTGGAGTTCTGGAGAGCGAAGATGAAACCAGGGAGTCGTCAAATATTTTTCACGACTCCCTGGTGGAAACGAGTAATCGCCATCGCGGCGGATCACGCAGCTTGAAAGCAAACTTACTTTGGTTGGTTGGTACTTGAACGACGGCGACATCAAGCGGAGTGTGATCAAAGAAGCCGAGGCAAGGCTGAAACGAGCTGAACAACGAATTCGAGAGAGATGACTACTCGCGTACAGCAGATGACGACTCGCGTGCAGCAGATGACGACAGCGACGCAGGTCAAAAATGAATCGAGCGAAAGCGACGCAAACTGAAAGGGGAAGTGCATCGATTTTTCGAGTATGGTCCAGAAGAAAGACAATTTGATATCGGTTCGAATGGCATATCTCTCGCTTCCATACGATAAGCCAAACTTGCCAAATCGCCAATTGTATACTCACGTTGCCATAGCGACCAGCGGAGTGATGACGTACGAAAGGCTTAGCTCCACCACCGAGAAGGTCGATCACTGCAGAATTTACGGGTCATTTTCAATTGGTTTATTGTATTCACGAAGTGAAAGAAGGGCTGTGTTCAATGCTGTAAGTGCAGTGAACTGTTTGTTAGTAGTCCTCTCGGTTGTGTACTGGGACGTGACACCGACAGGAGAAAGCTGGAGCGCGGAGACACCAGCAGACAAGCGAAAAATATTAATAGTGACGAACAAAATGCTGAAATCTTGGTTGGGACAAATCAGACGTTCAGCATTTCCCCCAACCAAGGACCATGCCGTTTGCTCTTTCCACTTCCTGAAGATGAATGTGATGCTTCCTGGCGACTCTCCTATCTCTCGTAACATCTTCTGAAGCCAGGTGAGACGACGGGTGGTGGAGATTGACGAATGAAATAATGTCGTAGGTTTGAAAGTTTGCTGAAAATGTCTCAGGAGAGACGGCGAATTCCAAGCATCTTGTCCTGGAGGAAACCATTTCCTAGGCACAGTCAGCCTAGGGAAATGCATGAGAAGGGCGACAAATAGTTCACGGCACTAACAGCATTGAACACAGCACTTCTTTCACATCGTGAATACAATAAGATAATTGAAAATGACCAATTTATGCAGTGATCGACCTTCTCTGTGGAGGAGCTAAGCCTTTCGTACGTCATCACTCCGCTGGTCGCTATGGCAACGTGAGCATACAATTGGCGATTTGGCAAGTTTGGCTTATCGTATGGAAGCGAGAGATATGCCATTCGAACCGATATCAAATTGTCTTTCTTCTGGACCCTACTCGAAAAATCGATGCACTTCCCCTTGAACTCTCTGCTAACAGTTTCTCTTGTCAAGAGGCTGTACATAATGGCTGAATCACCTTCGTCCAGTGATTTGCAGTCGATACAAACTGTTCTTGACCTGTTCGAAGCATTTTCATATCCATCAAAATCCATCACGAAGTTTTTGTTAACGGAGGAAGAAGTAGTATTACCAGTATTGTAATACTCATTCTGTGAGTATGTACATGTACAACATGTCATGTACATGAATGTGTGTGTGTGGGGGGGGGGGGGGTCCTTTCAAACGCATTTTATCACGGATGAACAGTTGTGAGATATATTTAGCCACATGCACTATTTCATTGAACCGTGACATGTTGAAAGCGTGTCTGAGAAAACATTTTCAGCGCTGCTGGTGCTGGCTGTTCTCCCGACACAAGATCTGGCGATGGTCTCCGCCTCTGCCATACATGCCTGCCCAAAGGGTCCATGCTTCCTGATCTGCAGGTTCAAGGATACTGGTACGGTTGCCAACATCCACCATGAGGTGGCCAGTGAGGGGTTCATCTGGTCTTCCAGCGATCCACACACCGCCAACTACCATGTGCCCCGCGGGACCTTCACACGCGCACGTCGACCTCACTCGAACCTTGATCTTTTTCGCAGCCATCTCCTTGCCGTTGACCATTGGCGTTTTTAAGTAGCGGTCTACTTTGAAAATGTACTCCGTGATCCCATCTCCGAGAGAAAACGATGAGCAAGTGCCAAGCTCTCCAGTTGCAACTGAAGGTGAGAAAACAATCATACAGAAATAGACGTAGTACATAGTGTCAAGATTACCAGTGAGCAGCATAGCATGTTGTTTATAAAGGACAGCCAGTGGTCGGGGTGAAACAGGGGCTGGGCTTGAGCCAAAGCAATAATTATAACATTACTAGCAACATGGTGCTGTTACCCTTAGTACAGAGAGTTTTTTTCTGCTTTCTGCTGAGTTGAATGCTAGCTGAGAACGTCTCTTGCACTAGATGACGGCTCAATCGGTCAAATCAAGATGTTCGTGGACAGAAATACATGTACACATGTTTTTAAATGAGAGGGGGGGGGGGGGAGCACAACTCTTTTTAACGGTTTGTACATGTAGATGGCATACATGATCAAGCATGGCTGGTTAAGGTTGTACATGTAGATGGCATACATGATCAAGCATGGCTGGTTAAGGTAACAAGACACATCTACTACTGGTGAATAGTCTGAGTTCTTTTAATGGTATTGCCTAGCTAAACAAACCACTCTCACGCACGCAGAGGAAAAACCGTAACAAAACACTTCATGCATTATCGACACAAGACAAAGATAGCAGATCTCCTACATGTCAGCCGCACAGCATCACACTATTCGGATACAGCACAGCATCACACTATTCGGATACAGCACAGCATCACACTATTCGGATACAGCACAGCATCACACTATTCGGAGACGTACATCACAAGAGCATCACACTATTCGGATACATACGTATTTGCATTCGGCACGCTCTTGGGAAGGACAGCAGAGTTGGCAGTTGCTCATCACATGGCTGGCAAGATGGAGGGACTGGTCATGGAGCAAAGCAAAGCAAAAGATGGGATATCAGATACAGTGCAGATCGGCTATAGGGTTGTCGGCTATAGTAATATATCTCTAATAGTGATCGTATTCTCAAATTCATTTTCGTAAACCACCCCTTTCTATACATATCGGATCGGCTATAGTAATAATCGGCTATAGTAGTATATCGGCTATAATGATACGATTTCTTTGTCAAAATGATTTTATTGCATACATTTTTCATCGGCTATAGTGATGATCATAAAAAATTATACATCGTACGTGGCGAGATCTGATCGCGGCAGTCAGGAAGCGCTGGTACGACTATAATATCCCTCGGAGGAAATTCGAAATGTTTGGCGTTGGCTGTGCTTGTTGTTCCGGGGCATCCTCGAGCGAGAGCGGAGGCAGTAATGAGTACCAGCGCTGAAGCGCTACCTTTATCAGAGGTTTGCACAGTGGAATTGAAGGCAAAATGGGCTTCTTGTTGCTTCGGATGGCAGTGGTGGGTCAGTCTGTTGTCAGGGCAGAAAACGCGTTAACCCCCCCCCCCCGTAGGGTGCACCGCACACTTCCGGATTTGACTATTAAAATGTTGTCAATATTGCCGCCTTCCACATAGCGTTCCATGTAGCGTGACCTAAATAATCTGTACAGTCACACCTTTTTTCTGGCCAACCGATTATAATGATTATAATGATTATAATTATTACGGTATTATACTTCACCAGTGGTATCTCACCTCCAGCCATAGCAGGAGTGTTTGTAGGTAGCAGGGGACTGCTGGTGGTGATTCTAGTTCTGCGGCGGGTATTCATGGCCGAACCACACCTGTCTCCTTGGACCATGGTGATATTCTCATTCAGCTGGCACGCCAGCCTCTCCATGATGCACTGGTTCTTATAAAGCTCCGGGCCCGAGCTACCTCGACCGCACACAGGTTCGCTGTCCGCAGGACAGTCACGTGTGCAGCTGCAACGTTCTAATCCCGTGGCTGGGTTAGTCTCGCAATGACCATGCTGGTGGCAGTTCAGTGATTTGCATAGTTCTGCAGATAAACAAGACATCAACCAGTATCTACATTATGCTTGGCTTGCAAGGCAAAATCAAACTGCGAATAGTTACATGCACATACACAGTAGTCAGAACAACTCGCAGTTTGACGCTGGGCCATCATTATGATAATACATATACCATTAAAGGAGGAAACCTGCTCTTATATCTATTGTGAGGGCAGTCAGTGGTTGGTAAAGTTCTGGTGGTATGGACTAGTTAGGCGGTGAATGTCGGTGGTGTTGTTGTTATTGTTGTTTTCCAATTTGGATTTGCGATTCAAACGGGCAAATGTGTCCAACGACATGATGCGAACATAGAAAGGAAATACCGTATTTCCCTGATTGCAAGGCACACTCGATTTTAAGTCGCACCCCCACTTTTAGGTTTGAACCACATTGTTTCAATGCATGCATATAAGTAGGATGCCACATTCGATTGTAAGTCGCATCCCCTTCTTTGCCCTTGAGGTTTAGTGTAAAAAGGTGCGACTTATATTCTGGGAAATACGGTAGCGAGAACAGTTTCCTGTGAGACAATAAGTATATGTTATCGCATGGTTGCAAGGGCCTTATGGCATATTATTGCCCCGAGAGGTTAGCCCGAGGGCCGTAGGCCCGAGGGCTAACCTCGAGGGGCAATAATATGCCATAAGGCCCGCAGCAACCATGCGATAACAAATTTATCACATGGCCCACAGAGCAGACCATTGGGCTGCTGTTGAAATTAGCCCAAATGCCAACACATTATGACCACAATGTATATTGATGTGCTATCATTATCAAAACAGGAAAAATGAAGATATTTCTCCTACACCCTAACAAAAGTCTGCTACAGGCCATCAGAGAGTATACAGCACTGAAAGACGGAGACAGATAAAAAGTGCCGGCACCGCATCGTCATAGCAATAGACATGGCAACGACCATAAAATACAGCAGAATCATAATTTCAGTTGAAAAATTAAGAGTGCTACCACAAAGAGTTTCTTCATGTTTACATGTGTATCAGGAAGTTGTCAAATACAGTACTGCAACAAGTGCAAGCATTTGACGACTCCCTGGTGTGCAATTCTGAGGACAATTTTTCTTTTTTTTTTCAGCTCCAGATAGCTGTGTTTTTCATTGCAAAACATTCCTGAATTGTTGTGTTTGTTGTTCAAGCAAAGGTGAAGGCAGAGGACATATGAGCCTGGTAAGAGTTTTGCGTGGCACATGAAGACCACACACAGGCAGTGACTTTGCGAGGATAAGAAAACGCACGACGCTGAGTTGAATTTGTGTTATTTCAAATAATTGTTTGTGATCACAGTACCACTTCGAGCAGAACTGAATCTTATCCACAAGCTTACCGACGGTCAGGCTGCCAACATGACTGAACAAATGATCCCTGCAAGCACCACACGGCAGACGTCCGAGGCCATGTCCATTGCCGGGATGTCCATCTCCAAAAAGAATTCCATCTTCTCAATGCTACACTGCGACTCGTCGTAGAGTCGTAGAGTCTACAGTCTTCGTAGTCACGCGATCAATGAAATAAACTATTTTTTTGCGGGCAAATAAACTATTTTTTTGCGGGCAATATCGCATATTATTGCCCGCGGCGCGAAAGGTGCTGATTCGCTGGAGTACGGGCAACAATCACGTGCTATGTGATAATACTATAATACTTAGCAATAGGAAACACTTCTGGTTCTTCAACAAGATTTTCAAACCTTCTTTCTCGTCAAGTGCAATACAAGCAAGCGCAAAGGAACAAGGATATGTCGACAGCGGATTGCACCACATGCACATTCCACGTAACAGCATAGGGAAACCAAAGAGTACTCCGGGTACAAGATGGTCGAATATGCCGACATCAACATCAAACAACGTGTGCAATTCGTCACCAAGTCTGTGAGCCGTTGGACTGCGAGCCGTGATACTGGACACATACCATCGACAGCACTTATCAACCTTAGGAAGGCATTTGCCCATGTTTGACTCAACAATGCCTCCTCGCGCGATTGCCCCATAAGCGAAGGATATTGATGGAACAATGTTTGCATGGCTCGCTTCCTATCTTTTCGCTTGTCGCTAGATGGTTGTTATGCCAAAAGATTTGTTTCCAAGGTTCACCCACTGTCAAGCTTGGGGTTCTGAAGGGTACGGTGCTGGGCGCTGTTCCTGTTTTCAAATGTTTACATGTGCGATCTCCACGCCATATCTGACACCTTTGCCTGTTCTCGTTTGTGTTTTGATTTGTTTTTAATTTGCAGTGACCAAACGGGCATTGGTACTCAATAACAAGGAAGCGAATGAAGGTACGAGGGGACTTAATTATAAAAGCAGAACATATCGTAACATGTTCACTTTTTTAGTGTTTCTTTTTGTTTTTACTACGAGCCACATAACCGTCAGATGAGCACTCAATTTTGGATGCTCGGGCGCTATAGGAAATTCCGGCCACTGTTTTGTGGAGGTGTGTTACTGTTAGGAGAATGGGGTATTCGTTGACTGTTCTGCCCGCTTCATTGCTGAACCGGCCGAAAGTGCTAAGTAAGATTTAGTTCTGCTGTGCTGGGTCTCATGATGAGAAGCACTTCTCGTGTTCTCTAGCTCTGTGTTCATTCTACATGACATCGTAAATTTAGACTTCCACTAGTTTTGAACTCGGATAATGAGCCAGCTAAATGCGAAATAGAAGAAGAAAACACATGGGAACGAGTTGTGAAGCAACTTTCCACGACTGTAACAAGAATAAGCAGTCAGAACGTGGGATACCAGGGCACAAAACTGACAGGCTACTGAGACATTCAACAGCCTAAGACCTAGTTCTAGTTCTAACACATCTCCAGTGTGCAAACCAGCAGCCTTCCAACTTGGAAGGCCTAGTTCAAGGTTGGGTAGGACCAAAGAGGGGAAGGTGAGCGCAGCGGAAGTGTGCACAAGCTAATTCCCACTGCAACACAATATAGTCAGAATTATAGTTAGACCGCATTGCAATGTTATTTACTGGTCTCGTCATCGTCCTGTAACAGTCGGCATTCTTTTTGTTTTATACATGTATTTCGCGAATCTAAACTGGAGTTTCTTCCCAGTAGAAAGTGAACAGATTTCGATCTGAAATGCGTGTGCGTGCTTGTGTGCGAAAGGTCTTCAAGGCGAACCTGGCCGAAATTGAGAAGTTGTAAAGGTTTCAAGGAAACCATTTCACACGTATTCGAATGAAAGTGAGTCAGCATGGCAACAACTGCGGCTTTGCTGCACTTTGCCGCTTTCAATTCCATAGTTTCGATTTTATGTGTATTTTTGAGTGGGAACAATGGCAACTGTTGGGAAGGCCGTCGTGGCCATGTGTTTTTTTTATGATGTATTTACTATTTATTCAATATTTCCCTCAGGATGTGAAATATGAAATGTCTGAGAAATTCAGTTTATTTTGGAACGCAATTTCGCGTACATGTAGTGATTTAACCTACAGTTAGTTCACGAGTTATTTAGTAGGTTGTTTGTTTCTTGCGTTGCACAGTGCAAGACAAGAATTTGCACAACTGCACAAGAGTATTGACGTTGACTCTCAAAATGATTCTTGGTCGCATTTTGTTTGTTTCTTCTAAGTTTTGACAAAGGGACATGTATTTTCGTTTTGTCTTTTCTCGCAGTGTTTCCTTTCATTAGACACCCTTAGCAAACAACGGTAACGCTATTTTTTACGGTACTCGTACCTTGATCACCCAAATAGCGTTGAAGCTGCAGCGTATAAACGTTATGGGGGCTGATTTATCGTTTTGACCAACGGTACGTGTTTTGGCCAAATATTGCATAGTCCGTACGCAATTCACCTTGTATCGCGTATATGGTGACAAAAATGGTTGTACCGCGCGAAATCAAAGCTACTCTCGTGGCAACAGCGTACTAAAAATAGCGTGCATCTTGCTAAAGGTCGAACCCAAATCACGGTATTTTCCCCCTTACGATAATACCATTACAACATAACGTTTTTTGCTAAGGGTGTCTATTTCTAAGCCGCGACGCCGTCGCGTACTGCGGTACGACGGGTCACGTGCTGCCAACCTACTGCATTCTTTATTCACCAGTTTTCACAGCTACACTGCATGCATGCATTGTATAATGACTCATGATTATTTTTTGCTCTGCGCTGAATCCCGTACTAGTATAGTGTAGGGCTTTTTCAGAGTTTTGGTTTTCGATGAGGTCGGCAAGTAATTAGCTCGGTTCTTCGAAAGGAAGAGAAAGAGTTGTCTTTTTGTTGTTTGCGAAATATCTATTTTACTACCACGAAGTGTTCCCGTTGCGTGTGAGAACCTGCATGACAAATTGGTAGCAGAGGATGGTTGTCAAGTAGTGGTTCCTTCACCAAGCGCAGTGTGGTAGTGAGTAGCATTTCGGGTTTTCGCTGGACAACATGGATCTTGAGGAGTGCAAGAAAGCGAAGGCCAAGGCCAAGTTCCATGTCACACGAAATCGAAACTTGTTGCTCAGCAGGATCTACGAAGAGGATGCGACCTCGAAAGAGATCAAGAGGTTGTTGGATGACGTGACTGAGAGTGTTCACAACGCTGTGGATGTGTGTCTAAAACTGGTAACTCGGTACGCAGAATTAGGACTACCCACAGAAAAAGTGCACGAGGAGATAGAGGTCATCAACGTCGACTACAGCGATGCTGTCAGCAAGACCAGCGACGTGCTGGCAGAAATAAGCAAGAGGCCAAGTCGAGCCAGAACGGGTGAAAGTTCGCCAGCTTCCATCACCAGAGCCAAGAACATAAGATTAGTAAAGGCAATGTTGACGCAGAGCTTGGAGAATCCCAGAGCAAGTGGGAGGATGTTGACACCACCACACTCTCCTAGCAAGGCCCTTGAGGAAAAACAGAACATGTGTGCTGAGAAGAGTCTCAGTCGTTTTGGGAATGTGTCTGCATCCAGTGTCAGCCAGAGTGCGACTGTTGAGGGGACTACCCAGCCGCCAGCCGTTTCCTCGGGAGCACCTCTGAG